TGGTAGCCTTTTGGCACAAGTAGCCCTCGTCAAACCCACACATGATACTATCACCAAGACATTCATAAGCAACTTGACGTTCCTGGTGAGTGCGTGTTCCTGCCATGTTGCCTGGATGACGGCTCACACGAAGCAGCCGCCCGGAAGATCCTGACCTGTTGGGGGTGGGTTTGGGAGGTTGTCTGAACTGTCCGGGAGGAGCTCTGAGAGTGTGAGTGAAGGCCCAATGTCATCCGGTTGGTGGAGTGAGCTTGAAGCTGTTCTGAAGGTGCTGCCGTTGCGTTCTCGCGGGGCACATAGGCAAGAAGAAGAGAGTGGTTCCTGACGCCCGTTTTGGATGTATGAGTTCAATATCGATGGTGACTGGGGGGCAGAAAGGTGGTGGTGTCGTGAGCAGGTCTCAGAACGCCTTTGAGTGAGTGCGCAGTGTCTTTCTAGCTCAACTATCACATGAGCAGTCACAAACCTCACCTCTGTGCACCAGTGGTCCTTAGCATTCACACTCCTTCAATCCCCACTGGACGAGCCAAACCCAGACCCCCGTAGCCTGTCGGGGAGACCGCGTGGAGGTCGGGGGGGGCTGCTCCACCTTTTGGGCCCCGTGGTGGGTGAGGTGGGGCTACGAGTCACCAAGGCTTTCGGCTGCCTTGGGCGGTGACGAGAAGGTGGACTAGGTGGGAATTGGGTGGAGCAGGTGGTTCTGAGCGGTGAGGTTGGGGAACGAGGTCTTTGCTCCGGTGAAGCAAAGCCAGCATTCGAAACGGCCGTGGTTGCACAAATCTTTGGAGCTCAATACTATCACAGAGCTCGGTCTGGTGATTTCATGGAGGCACTTGCCAGAATGTTGAGAATTGCTGAAGGTGGGAGACTTCCTTGTCTAGATTTACCTGGTTTGGCTTTTTCATGGAGCTGGGAGGTTGAAGCTCCCATGCCAAAGAGGGGTTTTCTCTATAAATGGTCCAGTAGTGCGTTGACCACAGAACATGCCATTTCTACGGACATTCGGCCCAATGAGTTTCACCATGTTTCACCAAGCAAGATGCATGATATCAGGCGCGTCAGCTCCCGCCATGTGGGCACTATAGCAGAGAGCTGGGGATTCATAAATATGCTAAACAGTCAGAAGTTAATTTCTTAGCTCCTCTCCTCCCATGCAACCCCAGGGCTCCACGTTCCAGGGCTCTCTCCCCAGGCTCCCGCCTGACGCAGGCAAGGCTGCGCTGCAGGAGTAGACCAAAGGCGCTGGGAAGGGTTTGCAGGCCCTGCGGAGGGCAGGCCTGCTGCCGATAAGAGGGCAAGGCTGCGGTTG